ATAATATAAAAATATAGACAGAAAAGTAGTTGAATTTAATCTTTAGCCCTGTTATTTCCTTTTGCTGGGAGTACCACTGAACACACAACTGGAGGTACAGGAAAAATAACAGCACTGAGTTGACTTTATAATGATGCCTGGCTTTCATTTACAAATCCACACTTACTGGCTCTAAAAGGACAGACTTCCAAATTCCTTCAAAACTCCCCAGGAGTATATGAGTCCTGGAATCCTAGTTAAAAAGTTGTGCAGTGCTAGTGCATGCACTACCATTATTGACCTTGAATACTGGACAAATATCTTGTCCAATGATATCACTGTGTCATAAACTATGGAAGTTTTACACTTTTTCTTTACACTTTTTCTAGATTCCCATGTCCATCAGGTTTAACTGCAATTGTTTGGTGGTATCACTTTTTTTCTTTTAATTTACAAATCCATTTATACCATAAAGACATGCACCTTTTCTTTTTGTGATTTAAACCAGTGATTTTTTACCTTGCTGTTGGTTACCATGGCTCTGCCATGGCTTTTTATACTATAACTATACACTTGAATGTGATCTTTCTTTTTTTTTTTTTAATTTCCTAGTAGGCAATCTTGTGATGATAAGAATTTGTTCTTGCCTCCTTTTTCTTTCCCCTCTTTTCATTCATTCATTCATTCATTCATTCATTCATTCATTCATTCATTCATTCATAACATTTGATTCCATGGTACCTGCATCACTATGAGACTAATGGGACTTTGCTCTGGCCAGTCAACTTGGTTAGCAAAAAAAACTTGAAAAATTCTCCTTTTTTTGTTAATGAGGGAATCAGTAGTCACTGCTTGACATTAGAATAAAGCAAGGAGAGTAGTATTTTTTGTATCAATATGTTGTTCTACTTACTTTCAAGAACAGTAGAGATGACAGACTAATAACTTTCATAAAAGATTAGCGGCATCTAGTTTTGCACAAATAGTTATATTTCAATACATAGAATGACATAATCCTCTGTTGTCTGTGCTGCTATTAATCTGAATCCTGTAGCTTTTCAGGCAAAACTCAGTAATTTTGGAGAAGAATTCCAAATTCAAAAAAGGAAACAGTCTTAAGTGTGGACCTAAATGAAAAGATAATTGTTTGACACATTAAAGGAAACTGGAAATTTGGACAGGACATATGAACATGTGCCCACAGTGACAGAGAACATATGCCTACTATGAGTAATGTATTTTCTTAGTAAAGATTTATGTCAGGGGAGCTAAACCTAATAGGAACTGGATTTGAAGACTAAACGAAGGCAGAACTTGGATTTACTGCTGTTGAAATAGAGSAAGTATACCTAGGATTAGGGATCCTACTAGTGGAATGCTACAAGACCATGGATTTATCATCTTTCATCAAACTGGAAACGCAACCTGGGAAGGCAGCAGAAAATTTCAGATGCCATGTGTAATTATCAGCATTTTAAATTTCTTAATTGCCAGGCCATGATCATACTGATTATCTAAAACTTAACCTCAGTATTTTCCACAGAGACCACTATGTATCCTCTACATCTAAGAAATGAAGTAGATTATACATTGGTCCCCAAGCAGAACTGTTTTTAAAGTGCCACTGCCACAAATACACTGTCTGGGATTTGCTGCACTTAATATCCATTTTAATGTTAGGTATTTAAAATTACATATACCTATCGTATCTTTCTAGTTAACGAAGAGAGACAATTTCCTAAGCAGGCTAACTCACCCACTTACATTAGACAACCTGTCTACAGATTGGATAAGCTGATCAGTAGAACTGCTGTCATTACATTGATTCGGAAAACCACGTGTGAAGAACCAGGTTCAAATCCACGGGTGGAATAACTTCCCCATTTTCTGACACTCAATAGGAAGTATTGCAGCAAAGGAAATTTCTTTGCTAATGTTCTTATGCTCAAAACAAAGAAATATTGACTACTGAACACGTACCTGCAATTTTTTTAAGATGACAAATATACGCTACTAAAAATATTAATATGAATGTACCATCACCATATATTTATCTGATAAAACTATATACCATACAATGCTAACAAAGTGTGCTGAGATGTTTGGTCACTGAAACTTTTTCCTATTTTCCTGCTGATGGTCTAATAGCAAACATATATACTGCAGTAAGCTTGGTCTAGAACCCGAATCCAGTCCCTTGCTGATGGAAGGCTCTGCTCTCTGCATTGTACCCATCCTCTTCCCTCTTCCTCTCCAACTTTGCCTCTGACATTGCTGTCTGCTTTGCAGCTTCAGGATGATAGGCAGAATGTAATTGCTCTGCATATTCATGGTATGGTGGCTAGTACACTTTCCTYGGATACAGCAGATGCAAATCCTTGAAGATTAATAGAGCCACCCACTCCATAGGCAAGTGCTCTAATTATCACCATGAACGCTCGTCTTCGTAGGTGAACCTTCCGTGGGAGACGCAGGTAACTGGATGGTGGTGGCAGTAAAAGAGAAATTATTTCTAGTCTACCAAATATTCTGTGTTAAAAAAGAACAGGATTGTGTAATCTGTATCAGAAATGTGAAAGTTAGCATCTATTTCTCYTCATTCTTTTCTGCATTTACTTCACATGTGTCTGGCTTTCCACATGCTGCTCTTTTCTACTTGTTTTTTTAGAATAATGCCTTTGCACTAATCAAAACCAAATGCACTAGTATGGATGTGGAAGCAAGGAAACAGTCCCTTTTTCCCCCTGGTTCTCTGCCTCCTGCACAAGCCTCTCACTTCACCGACTTTCCACACTCCCTTGCAGACTGCATTCCCTTTGCCACGCTCTCTGTGCCCTCAGCAAGCGAAAGGCAACAGCAGCCCAAGCGCACAGATCTCCAGTCCTAATCTTAAACACAGCTCTTCCTGACAGCTCGTGGTCTGATGGCAGCCCCTCAATCTGACACTGCTTTAGGTGYAGAGTCTGCAAGAGGGAGCCCCTTTCTCCAGCGGCATCTCAGCCCATTTGCATGGGCTGAGATGATAGACTGGTTGCTCCAGTCTATCAAGTGCTAAGCAAGGTGCAGCCATAAGGATCTAAAGAGCCACCACTGCAAGTCCTAAAATTGCTATTTTTTGCCAAAAGCCTAGCTACTTGCAAATGCTATAAATGAGAGAGGAAGACTGAACACTGCCTTGAGATGTGACTCAAGTCATTTGCCTTTTTTATAGACAAGAACTGCTGCAATATGCAATTCTTAGCCTTAAACATAATTATACAATGCAGCCATATCTACATAATCATATGCACAGATATCTCAGTTTATCCAGCAGTATGTCAGACAGTACACAGTATATGTAAACATATCTGCCAAACAGTTACAAAACAACTTTAATAGCAAGTGTCATTCTTTTCTGTAAAGTAGCTGTTTTTAACACACATGATCTAACTCTTGTTTGCTCTTTAAAGTTTTATTGTCTTGGCATTTTATACAGGAAGAGAGCATTAGCATACTCAGGAGAACTGCTAAAAGTAAAAGGCCTCAAGCTACCCACTGCATGGTTGATAGCATAAAGCACGGGATATAAAAACTTTTGTCTGATTGCTCACTTTACTTGTTTTAGAGTAGTGTTACTCTCAAGAGCATATATTCATGTTCTTTCTACTTCAAGTTTTATTACTTCTTTTGTATTATTTAATACGTCTAAAGACACTTCCAAAAGACAAATTTTTCCATTTTGAAAAAGTAATGGTTTGGAACCTGATAAAATACATTAATGTTCCCAGTATGTTATTTTCAAAGGCAAGCGGAATAAATGTGTAATAAAACAATTAAATGAAGGACAATAAACATTTCTGTATAATCAGAAATAGTTGAACATGCCAAACAAATGAGAAACTCGGCAAAAAATCTCTCCAAAAAAAGGAGATATCAAAATGGATTTGTCAGACACCAGAAGATAAGTTAAAAGTGTTTGCTTTCATTTGCTATTACTCCTAAATATCCCACTCTAGAGTTAAAAAGAACATTAAAAATGTGAAAGAGAAAGGGGAATAAAAAAGGCAGATTGGTTCAGCTATTTGAAATACAGAAAAGAAAAAAGAGAATGCAGTTGTATATATAATTAAAAATCATCTTACAGTAAACGTAAATCTAAGCCTACTTAGATATCGCACTCCTAATTATTATATAAATAACCTGGGAAACAATACCTCCAAGATACATGTTTTACTGTTTAGTAAACAAGAAACTGCCACGTTTGACACCACTGATTAAGGCCAGGCATTTCTAAAGCTTCAGACACATTTCTGAAATCCACAATACATCAATTTTTAATACTTCCACTCTCTCAGCTCCATTAAAAAGATGGTAGGGGAAAGATTTTAGAGTAATTAATGATATAGTTAGCTGCTAAATATTAATAGGAATCGTAGTCTTGCATAAAATATAACATATAAACCTTGCCAATACAGACGCACCAGTAATTAAAGTTGAATACGTAATTACACTGATTTATAAGACAGGCAAAAAGTTACACTTTACTGGCTTCTATGCAAACTGTGGGCAACAGTTAAACTTTGCATTTTACGGTTTATATAAATGGGCAATATCTCCACTGCAGTTCATAAACGGTTTAGAGACTCATAGTTAAAATTGCAACTAATTCCAATGTGAACCTTCTGCCTACATCTTACAAACCAAGCTGTGGAAATGATGGAAATGACCACACAGACAGCAAGGAAACCCCCTGTGCTTGCAAGCAAGTTGAGAAGATTAAAAAAAAAAAAAAAAAAAAAAAAAAAAAAAAGAGAGAGAGAGGGAGGGAGAGAGAAAAGATAGACTTATACCAAAGGACCTTGAAGGATGGTAACTATTCAGTAAGTAAAGAAGCAGGCATCGTCTATTTGAATGTCTGGTTTCCAACATACCATTCCAGATGTTTCACTTACCTATGTTTCAAAGCAGTTTTGAATAATATTTTGTCTTAGAGAAAAAGCTTTTTTTTTTTTTTTGCTTTAAAATATGCAAACTGCACTTAC